AAATACTAAAAGTTGAGAAGGAAAAGATCCAAGCGTATTGTGCGATATCCCCGATCGGTAATCGATAGAAGACCACAGCGACGTCGTCTTCTCATACTGATAGTCAAACATGTACTATCAAATTATCCAGACCTACGTCGGGTACTTCCGCTAGTTATATATAAAGTGCAGACACCACAGACTAATCTGTATGTATCTGATATTTTTCAAATGCGTCAAGCACTTGAGCTTTCATCGTACATTATGGATCACATCTCAGTTTTCCGCGTACGGAAAGGAAAAATAGGAGAAAAACGAAAAAACACACATAATCATCCATCTTCTATTGACTCACATTATAAATATATCGGACAGAATATCAAGCGATAGCAAGTGAAATTTATCTGATCTATGAAACTTACGCGTCGTAGAGTCCTGCAAGTAGATACAATGAACACATCACTTTATCTCAATCCATCATCCACTTTCATCGACTTACCCGTTATTCCGCTTTTGACATCGACATCACCACCACCGCCGTTCACTCAACTACAAGTCTCACCTGTCGACATCCTTCCAGTGCCATTCTCGGGTGGCACACCAAGAACGTATCGCAAACATGAAACAGATTTAGCAACGACAATTACTTTCGAACAAATAATCTATGAACTTTTACCTAACGGTTGTTTCATGCCGGCTCTCCTCGCGTGGAACTGTACTGGTTCGCACTTGGATCCTGGCGATGTGCGATGGGCAACACATGCACGGCAAGTCTATGTATTTGGTGTGAATGGATATGCATCGATCAACGATGTGCCTATGCAAGATGATGATGAGCGAGTCTATCCAGATGTCGATCTGTCCATAAGACGACATTTTGAACTGAACACCGAGTTGGTTGTGGTCTTGGATCAAAACTATTTTTATGTCAATTTGAAACGTGAACTATTGAATCCGAATGGAGGACTAAGTGAGTCACCGGTGATGTTTGTGTTTAACTGAAAGCACATGAGACAGTTTCACTAGAATTATCAACAAATAAACGAACACTCAGTACTGTTTGTCCAATCTTGGACTGTTCCTGAATCGAGACCTGAACTACTGGTATTTTCCTTCATATTTCAGAAGGAAGTTTCCAAAATGTTGGATGGATTCACTTTGGTTAGAGCCTGTATGATACAGCTTCGCAATCAGGGACATGCCCGGTATAGCTACCCAAAAGGCCCTTTACAAAAAACTCCTGTATACTCAGTTCGACTCAGCTTTTAACACTGAACGTGAATCTGATGTCAGTTTTTGATTTTGACTAAAGTCGGATGACTTCAAGACAAAAGACATATTACCGCTGGCTGGGCTAGTTCGGAGTGTGGACCACCTTAACTTGTTCCCGGACAGGGCAGATTTTTCTGGGACCACTTCGACTGCTGTTTCTTTCCGTCTGGAAGCTTTCAAAGAACATAGATCATAGGCAATCGATCCTCGTAAATTTCGTGGCAAATCTTGGCTTTCCTGAAAAAATCCAGAAACGTAGTGAAATTAGCTAAAATATCTCACTGACTATTTTTGCCTAAAATTAGAAGTTCATAACTCAGTCAGAATCGATCCAGACTATGTTAGAATATCAAGGCATTTATCTAGTTTCTTAGAAATCAAATTTTGACCAAACCGTACAATGGCGCTGCAATTCACTTACGTATTTACTCGCGTAACAAAAAAACGGGTATTCTGTCTATCATCTGGTTGAATCAGAATCTAGTCGCGTTCAACGCAATGATTCGACTCGAATTTATTTAGCTAAAATGATTTAATATAAAAGGATGGCAAATTTTATTTTGGCCCGTATCCATTCTGCAATAATGAATTTACACATTCCTTATATGATAACTATTACCCAAGAGCGTAAAAACGGGTAAAAAGACGGGGTCCGAAAACTAAAAAAACGGCCCGTAATATTTCTCATTGACGGGTCCGCCTCCCATTTGTTACGGGGTGACGGGGTCTGAACGGTTCAAAAATACGGGTATCCCGTATAACTACACATTCTGCATCTAAGAAATACGGGGTCATGAAAAATGATTTCTTATACCTTCGAAGCGTCGTGTTCTACTCTTAGACGCCTTGACATGTAAAATTAACTTTTGTGTATGTTCTATCCTAGGCAGTCATTTTCTGCTCGAAAACACGTACACCATTTTTGTGGTATAAACGAGTTAAATTTTTAAATTTGAAAAAATTTAAAAATTAAATTCAAAATCGAGCTGACGTATACAGAGAGTCTCTATGTTCTCACACGGCCATCCACGACTGTCTTAAAGTCAAGGTTCACAAGTTAAGGAAGAAAGAAACTAAAACAACTTACTCTGCTGTGGCGATGATTCGAACGTGAGTACCTAGAATTAAGAAGCAAGCATAGAACAGGTTGAGCCAGGGGTGTAACCGGTATCAAAATTGCGATACCGGTACCGGCCATCGGTATACAAATTTCATACCGGTACCGGACCGGCGCCGGTACCGGTCGGTATACCGGTCATCGGTATACCGGTCGGTACCGGCTTGTCTTGATTATGTTTTGCTTAAATACAAATACCTTTTTTGTTTTTCTGTACTGTGAATTTTATTTACAGTTATTCAGAATGTGAGTCA